TTCACCCTTTCGGTACGAGCGCCGGATATATCCGGCATCCATCCGATGACCAATATAGACGAGTGCCGAATACATCTGGCATCCATGTAAGCCATATTTCTGTAGGCCCTTTGCAGAATGTTTACAGGAAATATTTAAAGAAAGATTCAGAAACGGATTAAGCACAGTCATTACTTAACGCTTAAGAAAATCATCGTACAAAAGTGGACTGACCCTGCGTTATGTGCGCATTTTCGGCGCGGCACCCCGTACAGTGGGAGTGCCACGGCGGACAACGCGCTCGTACCTAAAGGGTTAATTATAATTGATTCGCTTTTACCCAGTTCCTCTCAAATAATAAACGCAGCAACGAAGCCCCCTCTAAAAAGTAACATTGCCGTTGCAAAGTATTCGAACGTTGTATCTATTCGAACGATCTCCTGTGTTGGTACATTTACGGAACACGATCAAAGACGAGCTTTGCATCGATACAACAGCCAAAACGTTCACGAAACCGACACACACACACACACACACACACACACACACACACACACACACAGACAGAGTGCTGAAAATCGGAACGAAACGTTCGCGCAGCGTTCCGGTTTCAAGCAACATTCAACGATGGCGTACGGTTCCGGACAGCGGCGTTTTCGGCGCGGCGAACACGTCTAAACGCGGCATGCTCGAACCAGCCATTAATCGTAACAAAAGTTCTCTCACCTGGGGCGATACGGTTGCGTCACGATCGCGCAAATCCAGCCTCGTATCTAAATACTGCGAAACGTCTCGGCGAAAACGGTCAGGCAGCACGGAACCGTCTAACATGGCAGCGGAATGTACACCGAAACTCGGCACGCGAGGGGGTGTGTCGCCAAAATTAGGCAGCGATTATTTCCATGCAGCTGGCCAAGGCAGAAGCGATCGGATCGTAGAACGTATCGGACAGGGGCTATAGTAACATCGCAACCCTAAGTGCACGGACACTCCCACGGATGCATCCCTTCCGCGGGAAAAGCCCGGAAACTGATCCATCAATCGGGATCCCTGGGATCCGGCGACTCTCTCGATCCGGATTCCTCGAGGTGCGCCGATGATTCTTGTCGATCATAGCCGAGAATTTACGAGTCGGGGGGACAAGAGTCATCGCACCAGAATCCCGGTAATCCTTACCGATGGCGCTGTCTCGATTCCCGTGATTCCGAATACACCGGGTGTCCCGATGCTCGCGATCCGATCGTGGAAGAATCGAGCGTGAGGAGAAACGGGGTTAACGGCGCGGAAAGTTTCGATTGGCCAATTTGTTGGCCTGCACACTGTGCAGGACTAAAAACGAGAAGCGAGAAACTAGCTTCTGTTTCTTACGGGCCTCCCCGATGTATAATTGTGGACAGTACATTTCTCTGGAAATGCTTGATCGAAACTTTGTCCTAAAAATGGGTCTCCTTTAACCGGTTACAGTAATGTCTCTCTAATTGATGCTCAGATTGTCCACAAAAATAGGGAATTTTGGAAGAGTGGATACGATTGTTCGAGACTTGTAGCTCGTTTTTTATGATTATCGATTGGAAACAACTATAAAAACGAGCTGCAAGGCTCGGTTAATCGTATCTCCTCTTCCCAAATTGTCCATTTTTCTGCACAATTCGAGCGTCAATTAGGGAGACATTACTGTAGCTGTTAGTAATTAAATCTGTCGCGAGAATCAAGCGACGACGAGTATACTCGTCAAGCACAGAGCAACTGTCAAGGTTAAATTAAAATATTAAAATATTGGATCGAAAAGACGGTTTTATTTTCTAAAATCAACAATTTTATTACGAATATTATGTTACTAATATAATGTTCACTCAACATTGTCTGCATATACTGCATACATAATAAACTAAAAGCGCAGGAAAAATCAGATACTTATTGAAGTTAAAAATTCAAATTGCTGTTCCAGAGTGGTATTGAGCAAAGCACGTCGAACACTTATTGTGATTCTTTTCTAATCTTCTTTTTATAACAATGCAAACAGCTTCATGCAGGATTGATCTCAATTAGAGAGACATTACTGTACTGGCTCTTCTCCATGACGAGTATACTCGTCAAACACAGTCAACTGGTCAAGAATTTTTATTTTAGGAGAACCGAATGATGTAAAAAAATTTCTGCTATTGATTCGAGCATGATCCAGTATCGTAAACAAATTTTTTCAACACGCTAGATACAATGGTGCTCATTGTAGATGCTGTCGATCGATTATTGGCATTTCTAATTCAAAGGTAAAGCGTTAACCCTTTGCGGAAGAGAAATTTTTTAAGTGCTAAGAACATTTTCCTCAGAGAATTCGATTAACTATTAAACACTGGACTCGTCGATAAATGTTCTCCAATAATTGCGTAAAAGTTATTTTGTATTTTATTATACATTAACATCAGGTTTTTGGTTAAAAAGCGATCATTTGACCGCTTTCGGTAGAAATAATTATGTACAAAATTTCGGCAGATTTCGTGTTAAATAATGAGGAAAATGAACAATACGTCCCCATCTTTTGTTATGCACGTAATTAAACTTTATGTATGCAGCTTCTGGAATAAGCCACACAATTCTGATATTGTCGCTGCGTCGACATTCAAATTGATATCGACATGAAATAACAGGATTCAAATTGATAGCCGTTTAAACAATAAATTTATACGTTCCACAGTTTCTTTCACGAATACACTGTTGCATTGCTAAAATTTCTAGTGGCACTGGCCCGAGTCGAAGACATCGCGAGCTAAGTTTTCCGAAGCGACGAAAACCGTGTTTGGGAACCGAGCTTTTTCTTTCACCGCGCGAAAACAGAGGGTCGCTGGAATTGGATATCGGGGCGGGTTGCAAGTGGCGGAGAGCGTCTAAGCATGCGAGAACCAAGGCGAAAACGAGCCTAAGCGTCGCGGCTCGGCGCGGCGTGTCGGCGATCGATGCGCCGAGAAAAAAACTCCCTCTCCGCCGGCCGTGTTTTTTCCTAGCAGCGGAAAATCGCTCCGCGGGCAAGATTACTCCGATTCAATTTGTCCTTGCTCTGTTGTTGTATCAGAGAGAGAGAGAGAGAGAGAGAGAGAGAGAGAGAGAAAGAGGCAGGATGGGAGGTCGACTAGTTTTCGGCGGTCGTCTTCTTCGCGCAACTAGCAGATTAGAGCGAGTAAATTGGATCGCGCGGCGTTTCGAGCTCGGTATCTAAAGAAGCTCTTCTCCGTTTAATGAAACGGAAACTGCGTGAACCGAGCTACGCCCGGACACTTGTTCCGCGAACCGCGAACTGTATTTTCTCCGGTAATCTTACTCGAAGAATCCCACGGAAATTATAGCTCCGCATTCCTACGAAATTGTGTCTCCGTTCGCCCGAGAATTAATTAATTGGAATTAATTGTTCGCAAAAGAACGTGTACATGTTTCGTATCATTAACACGTTCCTTGCCACGCGGTACCATCGGCACCTTACATGTGTGGCGTCGCATCCCTCTACCTGAGCGCGGCCGCTAGCAATAAAACAAGTACCGTTCCTAATCCTCAAAATTCCCTAAAAAACACGCACCCCTAATAAAACAATTCTCCTCACATCTGGACACCTCGACCCGCACGGGACTTTCCCAACTTTCTCCTTTCCTACGAAAATCCATCTACTCCTTTCTTCTCTTCCACTATAAAAGAGACAAACGCGCAACTCCAAAAGCTCAGTCTGTCCTAAGTTGCTAGTCCTACGACGTCACGCTAGTCGCGCCCGCGCTCATCGATAGCAATTCAATAAACTGCATTAATAGTAACCTTAAACACGCTCTCCGATTCGCTAACCTTCCCTTCAGTGCTAAACATGATTATTTAACGCGCTAAAAAAAATGTGCCACGAAAAGAATGGGTCACGATAAGTTTGTTTCATTGTTTCAGACAAAGTATCAAATGGTCAGAGTTGTCAAGTAAAAACAGCCCGGCACGGAACCTGTTCATTTGCATGACTTGATTTATGTAGCGTTGACTAGCTTCTGCAAGCATTTGTTGTCTTCTTTGGTAAATGTTCCTTTCCTCTGTGGAAGAATCGCGTGGGTTTTGTCGCGGAACGCGACGATCGAGAGAGAGACCACATTTTCCCATGTCTCGCGAGTAACAACAAAAATGTAAAGCAGTTTATTATCCGTAAGACATCTTACATTTCTTTAGCGGTCGTTCTAGCATTTTCCACATGCATCGCTGGACAGAGATTTACGGTCGCAACAAATTGTTGCGACGAACTCTTATCGTTTTAAAAAAGCGTTCGCATTATGCCCGAGGATCACCACTTTGTTTACTATGAGCACACATTTTTGTCTCGCTGCTTGCTCCAGTTTCGAATCTCAGATCGCAAGATAGCGGAGAATAGTTCAACTTGAGCCTGCGCCTAGAATCTTGTATCTTGAGAGAGAAAAATAGTCGCAGCGTTATCAATGACATTAAGTGATTACAAATGACGCTTTAGGACCCGTTTCACCTATCATATCTCCGAGGCGAGAAATATAAGTAGCGCTATCAGTGGTAATAGTCGAGTATGAGAAGACTCCGAAGCACATTATCTGCAGTTATGCTGTGTGTCCAGGTACTGCATAAATGTGTGAAACGTTTGACCAGGTGAAATACAGAACTGTAAAGACGTTGGAAGAATTTTCGAACATTTGTGTAGTATGTGCAACTTGTCAAAATTATTAACCCTTTGCCGTCGAAGTTATTTGAATCCAAAATCCAAAACATGATTTCTGATCTACAGTATTTCTATTTTATACAATTTATTGCGATTTATGCACATGAAATTGTGCCTATTGGCAAGTACAATGCAATCTTAACAGTTTTGTTTAAAATATAAGCGAGTCCGATGCGTTTAGAATGATTTTGAAAAATAATATACCAATTTCTAGTGGCGCCTCAGAGTCGCCACTCGAGTGCGAAGGGTTAAGAGATGAAAGACATTTTATAACATGACACGATTCTTATAATTTAACATAGACGATTTTTACATTACAGAAAAATCCGTTGTCCAGTTATTAATTATGTGCGCCGGAGTGGCGATTTTGAGGTGCTACCAGAAATAATCCAAAACTCTTCGCAATGTACGGTAAGACTGACTGAATTAAATTTCATCTGTATAAAACATAAAGGATTATGCAGAACGAAAATATTCCAGATCGCAATAAATACCTTGATTTTGTATTTAAAATAGATTCGAGAGAAAAGGATTTATGATGCTAACTGACCGCGAAGGTTCCGAATCTCATTTTAACCCGTGGCTACGCTACGTCCAGCAAATAAATCTGCGAAATCAAATCCGTTGTTTTCGCGAGGCCGAGCAAGTGGAGCATGTTCCCGTAGTAGAATCGCGAAGTTCGCAAAAAAAGACAAAGTCGATCAGCCGGTGGCTCGTGTGCGAAAGGATGGTGTTGCGAGCGGCGCGGATGCACTCGGAAGAATTTCAAGACGGACGCAGTCGCATAGGCGGCGATCGATGCACCCTGCGATTTTTCCGAGTGGCCCGAAACCGGGACAGAATACGAATAAACCGTAGCGCAGCCGGGGCGCTGCGCGGCGTGATTGCGAAGGCGCGGAATATCGTTTCGGTATATCTAACGAGCGACGATAAAATCAGACAATTTCACCAGGGAGAGCAGCAGCAGCAGCAGCGGCGGCGGCATACCTGGCTCTCGCTATCCGAGAAAATCGAACGCGCTGCCGAGAAAACCAGCGGGATATCCCCTCGACTCTTAAAATATTCATTCGATTTGATGCTGTTGACGCGTGGGATCGACAGACGGTTAGAAAACATCTCTCCTCGTTTCGACCCTCTTCCCCTAACCTCGGCTAACCCGGCCTCCGCGCCCCGGAAGTTACATTCGTCAACTTTAACGCGGGCGCATCCTTTTACGATGGGAAATCTCGAATCCTGCGCGTCGAGAGACTCGGTCGATTGAATTTTTTATCGAATGCCGCGATGAACGAGCCAACGTTGTGCCCATTCGAAAAGATTTTTTTCGGAGAAGAATTGGAAAAATCTGATCGGGGAAACTGAGAAATCAGGTTGTAATGCGCGGACGCGTAAAATATAACCGGAGACGAATAGACAGTTTTTCTTCCGTTTAATAATTTAGATAACTGTATGTCAGCGAAGGTGGGTCCGTTTCGACCCATATGTACACAGTATGCTTGTTAACAGTATACCATCGAGGTGACACATATTATGTGAAAATATATATTATATAATATAATTGTGAATACAATATAATTTGTGAAAATTGCACAAATGTGATGATAATAATATATATTATAGTCATATCATTGTAGTAATGTTTCTTTCGTCATTCCAAATAATAGGAAAATTTAGAAAAGACATTTTGATCGTCGTCTAGCAGACTAGTCTTTCTATCATCTAAAAAGAAATTCAGGTCACTTAGTCCAGTTTCAAAAAAGTTATTACTTTTTAAGAAGTGTACGAATACTTTTGCGGGCCCTTGTAAGTACGGTAAACGTTCCCGAACGTTCTCTGAAATATGTGAAGTCTCTGCACGGATACAGTAAACTGTAAAAATAATGGAACAGACTGGGAGAACGCGAGGCGGATATACGGTGTCAGTTGCGATTTTAATAAATTCTGCTGTAATATACGCGAGCCAGCGATCGTTGCCGAAACTCCCGTGATATCCCGGCCAGCATTCACAACGCGGAAATGAACAGAGAAATGACAGACGTTCGAAATCGACCGAAGGAAACCAATGCCGGGAAAGAAATTGAAAACGCTAGGGCAGAGAAATGTTGATGAGTGCGAGAGGCCGAGATCGGGAGAATTGATGAAATGACAATTGCAGAGTTTCTAGAAGGCGGCACGGTTTATAAAGCGCTGGTCGTTTTCGTTTTACGAGGCGAACACAGGGCCAGCGAAATTCGCGAGATCATCGTTAAATTGATGTAGGGCACACGCGACCCTTGCCGCGGCTCGTCGTTACGTTAATTTTAAAGACAGCGGCCTGAATCGAAGCCTATCTTGTAGTCGCGACTTCACAAAACGAGGTCATATTTTTCTTTCAGATTTTCAAGCGCAGTGGTCAAAGGGTAATTGGCAAAATAAAACTCCTCTTGAGATTAAATGAAGAAAGTAAAGGACCTTTTACTTGCTCGAAAATTCCCAAGACTACGAGACCAACTTTTTAATTTAAAAATTTCCTATTACGGGACACTCTTTCCCGATTAATCAACGAGAAAAGGACGGAAAACTAAGGGTGCTGACTTTTCTTGAAATTTAGTTTCTTTCTTGCTGATTTTCATTTAATATTATCTATGTATTATTGTCATTGATTAATTTATTATTCTTTCACGCAAAGAGATAATTACTTTTGTATATAGGTTCGTCATTCTCTTTCCCTCACTTTTTTATTCTTCTTGCCGACCTCGCAAGGACAGACCAGGTCCTGGTATCGCTTCAAATGGTCATTTTTGCGATCTTTGCACCGTATACTTTACTTTCGATTTATTTATATAGATCTGTGCGATTTTGTCATCAGTTGAATTACTATTCCTTGTTAGCTCGTTCGCTTATTTATTATGTCATATATTCGTTCGCGATGCCATACGGTATTTTATTTTCGACGAACTGTTTGACGTCGCCGGCAGAGGAAATCGAGGCAAATAAAGGATCGCATTACGTCGAACAAACAACCGAGCCGGCCGCAATAAAAATCTGGAACAAACGAACCGGCCAACTAAATCTGCTGCGAGCTCGCGATACGCTCCAGATACTCCCTCGATCGTTCGCCTAATTACACGGAATCGTCGTGTCCACGCTTTTATCGGGCCGAGGCGGCGTGCTCGACGCGGCCGGCGCTCTCTCCGCTGCTTAATCGCGCGTGTTCTGCTGGAAGCTTTTTCTAGAAATTTTTCCAGGCAATCAGCGGGTTTAAGCGCCTCAGCGAGTAAGTTTCCCCGGAAACGTGTGCCCGATTCCATCTTGCCCCCGAGTGATAGTCATTTTTGTGTCGCGGTTTATCTGCCGTGGGAGCTGGCCGGTTATCTGCGAGCGTTGGCTCGCGCCTCGACGAATTTACACGTCGGATTCGTATCTCGTAGGTGCTGCACCCGGTTGTCACATCGAACGCGCCACCTGGAACATTGTTGTCAGCTGGTCCGACGGATCAAAGGATCCGTCACAGAACACGCGACAGAGTGCGAGACGATTGTTATCGGTTCCATTGACCGTGCTTGAAGTTCTTATTGGTCTCCATCATTGAATATGTTTTCCAGTTCTCATAAAAGCACAATACTCTTTTTAGACTCTAACACAGGGCTGTCAAACTCAAAAGCTAACTTGGGCCAAATAAACAATGCTTAACTTTAGGTGGGCCGCAAAAAAAGAACGAATCAATGTTCATAGAAACAAATATTTTTATTTTGACTAGTACATTGCAATAAACATATATAAAGTTAAATTATTGTTTACGGCCTGATACTTGACATCAAAAATGTTCATCTCGGGCCGCGAGTTTGACACCCCTGCTCTAACAGCATTTTTAAAGCGGACGTCGAAGTATCTGTAAATTCTCCCCAATTGTCCCACGGTTTGTAAACGAAAATGGACAATTTGGGATGAGTAGATACGATCATTCGATTATTTACCGTACAGTGAATTCTCCCTAATTTTTCTTCAGCTTTTAACCCCTTGCCGTACCATTATCTTCGCAGTAACAATGATTGGAATTTTTTTGATTCCAATCACTTCTTAGAAGGAGAAGATAATTTATATTTGTCGTGTTCCGACATTTANATGCTTAACTTTAGGTGGGCCGCAAAAAAAGAACGAATCAATGTTCATAGAAACAAATATTTTTATTTTGACTAGTACATTGCAATAAACATATATAAAGTTAAATTATTGTTTACGGCCTGATACTTGACATCAAAAATGTTCATCTCGGGCCGCGAGTTTGACACCCCTGCTCTAACAGCATTTTTAAAGCGGACGTCGAAGTATCTGTAAATTCTCCCCAATTGTCCCACGGTTTGTAAACGAAAATGGACAATTTGGGATGAGTAGATACGATCATTCGATTATTTACCGTACAGTGAATTCTCCCTAATTTTTCTTCAGCTTTTAACCCCTTGCCGTACCATTATCTTCGCAGTAACAATGATTGGAATTTTTTTGATTCCAATCACTTCTTAGAAGGAGAAGATAATTTATATTTGTCGTGTTCCGACATTTACTTGTACGATTAAATATTGATGATGAGAGAACGGAATTTGATTCCGACTTAAAGGAATGAAATAACATTTATAATTGTCAGGCTATTGCTAGAAATCTTCATCACGAGTCACACTCGTCAATGTACCGCGAGGGGTTAAACAAAAATGGAAAATTTAGAAACAGAAGATGCGATTATTCGGGCCTCGTGACTCGTTTTCACAGTCACCGTTTATCAACAACTATAAAAACGTGCCGCGAGACTCGAATCCCCTCTTTCCAAATTGTTCTGTTTTGTTTACAAGCTGAGAGACAATTGGAGAGAATTTACTGTAGTTTTGTAAAACTTCGTTTTCATCTAGAAATATTTGAGAAAGTCTTGACACGTATTTGTCTCCACCCTTTGTTTCACTATATTTATTGCTAAAATGTATCTGTGCGACAGAGTATTAAAGCAATCTAACAAAGCAAAGATTCCATGGATATTATGCTATGCGTTATGAGCTAAATTTTCGAAACGCGTTCAATTCATATGATACAATACTCTAATTTAGCTCAAAATAACGACGCGTGAACCATTTGAAGCTGTACAGTTTTTATTTGTATCGTTTTTCAGCACCACCTGCAGTCACGTAAAATGCATGAACGATTTCGAAGCTTCGCCCGTAGACATTTCACACTGCATTGTTATTACATCATTGTTAGCATTATCGTGGAGTAACCATTGTTGTTCGTAACGCGAATTAACATAAATTGTACATCGATTTCCCAAGTGTGCAGAACTTTACGATAGTATGGCAGAGCCCTATACAATGTCCGAGGGGCATATTTAGGGTAAATAATCATCGAGGAAAATATAACAGACATTCGTGAAAAGAGTAAACATGGCACCATGTATCAAAGAATGTTCGTAGACGCCGGTAGCCTAGGAAGAACATTGTTTCCAGGATACCGAGCCGGCTCGTCACGATTATTGCAGCCGGTGCTTGGCTCGCTGTGCATGGTTTCCGTAGATCGGCGCAGCCTCGGAACGCTAAGTCGCAATTTGTAGTAATTAATCACGACTTTGATCATCCGTTACCGTGACTGAGGTACGAATATTACGGCGTTCCAGCCACGTCATCGCCGATTACAGGGCCTCGTCTGGCGCGCACGTCGGAATTCGGTAGCCGCCGCGAAGCTCGTCCAATCCTGGCCCGGTCTTATCGCGGTGCCCGTTCTAAAAAGAAGTCCGCCTAATTTGATGGATCGACCGGGCGAACTTGATCGGCCCGGTAATCGGGCCGGGCCGGTTACGGTCGGCCCGAGAAAGGGGCGGAAAATAGGCTGGAACCCGTATAATTCGCGGCGGTAATACACCGAGGCGGAACACGGCGTTAGCGTGGCAGGATCGCGTGACAAACATGTCTAATGGGAATTCATAGAATCATTCGTGGATGGTGAACGGCTCGGCTCGGCTCGGCTCGGCACACTCATCCGGCATACCATGAGCGAGAGTGCAATTACGTGAGCGCGGGGGCGGGGGCTCTCTCTCTCTGTACGTGACGCACACCCATGGACAACGGGGAAAGCCCGTTCGTCGGCCTCCGTTGTTTTTCCATGAGCACTCGCGTGATTTTCCGTGCTGTTAGTATTTTCTACGCAGCCTCTGCCGGCCGCGGGAATTATTTAAATGGTATTCGAGCGACGTTTCTTTTCACATACGATCGAAAGTCGCCATTTGACAGGTGCACCGCTCGATTCGAAAACTTTTTATATCCTCGAATGTGTAATAAATATTAATAAACTTTGCGGGAAGCATTTATTGAAACAGTATTTTATAACTTTCACGTCATCTGGTACAGTGCCTATATGCGATACAAGGTGTCCCAAAAATGTCTCGAAATCCAGAAATGACGGGTTCCTCGGATCATTTGAAGCAACTTCTTCCTTTACAAAAATTTTCTCCGGGGCACCGTTAACGAGTTATTAACAAAAAACAGTGACCAATATGAATCGAGTACGGCTGACGCGAGGCGGCCCAACTAACTAGTGCAC